ACTTTTTCTTTACAAGGTGGGTCATCTAACTGAGCATGTACAGTGTGAGGGTCATCACTCTGTTTCTGTTTGGAGAAAAATGATGTGTTGCAACTGTCCCTTGTTGCTACTGTCCCCGGTCTCCACTACTTTCTCTTGTCTGCATTGACTGGTAAGACTGAACTTTCCTTTTATATTTTCTTTCTTTGACTAACTAAATGAGTGTTGGTCTTTGAATCCATGCCTGTGATCCTCAGTTTGCAGCACAGTGAAATGTTGTAAAGACGTACACTTCAGATTGCTTAAAGTGAGACTGATAAAAGACTTTTAAGTCCTGCTTTCTGCCAAGATTTCTTTTACACTTAAGTTCATTCTAAACATCATTCGTAAGCTGGAAAAACATGGGCTCTAGTTTTCATGTTTAAGTTACAGGTCTAGGTACGATGCACAGTCTAAACATGCAGGAACAATGTGGGATTAGCATATCCTGCTTATTTTACATTTTCCTGCTCAAACACACCTGATTCAGTGACTGATTCACCTCTTTATGTTCTGTAACTGTTTATCACTCGTTCAAACCACGCAGCATTATACAACATTAAGAGAAATTATTTTTGTTTTTCATGTATTTATATTGCTTCTCGTTGGGCTTATGAATAATGACAATGACTTTTTAAAGTTTGAAATATTTATTTCTGAATAAAAACAAAAAATTCTGAAATAAACGTGGAATATATATATTTATATAAAACAGGCATAAGTGATACTTTGAAATACATTTTCTAAAAATAAAATGAAATAAAAAACAAAGAATTATAGTTAACAGCCTGACTTTAAAGTTGCATTAATTCATAATCTATGTGGAATGTAAATATACAGTGCAAAGACAAATGATTCATTGTACAAAATAAACCCTAATATCCAACTCTGTTGGCTTTTACTTCATATAATCACCTAAAGGTCAACAAGTTAAACAAATATTTGTTGGCATTAAAAGTTTTCTCAGTTCCCTTCTCTTATWTTAATCACAGGTGGTCCTGATTGTATGWGGTGCTGTTTGTAAAGTTACACAGTCAAAAATTACCACCAACATCTTTGTTTTATTTAGACTTTTATAAGA